TGGAACAGGTTGCCCAGAGAAGTTGTGGATGCCCCATCATTGGAAGTGTTCAAGGTCAGGCTGGACGGGGCTTTGAGCAACCTGATCTAGTGAAAGATATCTCTGCTCGTGGAAGGGGGGTTGGACCAGATGACCTTTAAAGGTCCCTTCTGACCCAAACCATTCTGTGATTCTGTATTTGTGCCTGTGTAGGAAAAGCACAGCCTTTGCTTTCTCTCATGACCTTTTCTTTCTGTTCTGTCCCTGTTACTGTAATGTAATGTGTACAGGTCCACAATGATTTTGGTACCTGATGGATCTCTTAAAGAATTTACTGTATCCAGCTGTCTTCCACAACTAAGCCAGAAAACCCAGACTATGCTGGTGCTTCCTAAGCAGCAGTCAAAACCAGTTACTAAGTCAAGCATCTTAGCTTATATGTTGTTCCACTGTTTCAGCTGTGGTGGTGATAAACAGCTGGGAAACAGTTGTGTCTCAAACTGCTGCTGCTGTTACTGAATTGATTGTGGTGCTCTGCTTTTTGTGTTGCAGTGACACTGATGAACAAAAGCCAAGGAAAAAAAACATGGAATATGTGAGTTAAAGCTCCCAGTTAATTAATCGAGCACTGGCCTGAATAAGCAGGTCTCGGAGCAGTCAGCTGAGATACCGTATGCCCATATTCTACTAGTATTGTCAGTCGCTTTCATCTTCTGAACAAGAAGTTAGTGTTCTTACTTGGGCTTGATGGGTTGTGGTCTTGGGATTCTGTATCCCAGAACTTCTTGAATTTGGGATTGGAAGTGAGCTGTCCCAGGAGGGTTGCTAATGGGCCTGCAAGCTATTAGATGTCCAAGCTTTGCCTGCGTTCACAGATTTGCTACAGAGGTTGCAGAGCTTTGTGGAAGCAAGGTAATGCTTGCAAGTCCAGTGGCTCCTACATCTCATTTCTTCATTATGGCTCCATTAATACACGTTTTGCTTAGCTAGGGCTAAATAATCTACAACCATATAGTATCCCTGATACCTAGTCACCCCTGCAGCAGGGTTTCTTCATTGAGTTCTGTAGATCATTTTACATTACTTCTCTTGGTGCTGGGCGTTGGCTGGGCACTTGCTTCTTTGCAGCAGACTTTTGAAAGGCTGCCGTTTGTAGTTTCCTTAATGAATTTTATGTTAAAGTTGCAAAATTTGTGTTTGTGGTTGAACACTCAGGTCCCATTTGGAATGATGTAAGGGAAGTATATCATAGCCAACTGTGAGCTTTGGAAGATCTTCACAGCTAGTCCTCTCTGCTGCCCTTGTGTTTAGAATTCCTGTCCTTTAACATTGTGTTCCTTGTTAACACACTTCTTATCTTCCCTTCTCCCTAGGAAAGCACACCCTCAGGTTTCTCTGATTATTTTGTTCCTGTAAAGGCAAAATTACACTTGAATGGAAATTCTGCCCCCCCTCCCCCCATTGTCATCCCAGGACAAGAGGTTTTCTTGGAAAATTGAGAGTTGGAAAACATCCTTATGGTACCTTTTTTTGGTATGTTTTAAAGATCAGAAAAAAATCTAGGTAATAGCACTTTCCCAACTGCACTAACTGGTCTAAAAAAATAGACAATCTTGGAGGCATATAAAGCTGCTTCTGGTCAGTAATGTCAACTATACACTGAAAAGATAATACAAGCTTGGAATAAAGTTCAGAGCTGAATTAGTTAGTGGCTGGAGCACTTTGAGTGACAATGTAGTCATTACCTTTGGAGTAGTCCAAATGGTAGGGATAGAGAACTAGGGTGATTATTTTTTGAGATAATAGCTTGTGAAACATTGAGAACTTCCAGCTGTGTACCATGGACTTAGCAGAGACACTGAGTATCCGGCTCACTCTAATCTTCCGTCTGCTGCTGCTAACACTTCTAGACTTGATACCATCTTCTCAGATTTTGAGAACTTGTTCTCAATTGTACTGAAGTCTGCTGGCTTCACTTCAGACTTGAAGAAGAGCTTGTGTTTCCAAAAAAACCTGCCTGCTTGTTCCACTTACTGTGATCAACCTAATAAAAAAAAGACATAATGTACAAACCTTTTCCTGCATACCCTTACGCTGTCATGGCTGCAGCATATTTCCTAATAGGGAAAATACCTCTGATCTGCAGGCTGCAGCAATGGTATGGTTGTAACTAAGGCCATTATTGCTTGTTAAATTTCAGACAGGTTCTTCATACATTCCTCATTCCCAAGGGGACCTGTATGAGGTTCAACAAGGCTAAGTGCCGGGTCCTGCACTTGGGTCACAACAACCCCATGCAGCGCTACAGGCTTGGGGATGAGTGGCTGGAAAGCTGCCCGGCGGAAAAGGACCTGGGGGGGTTGGTTGACAGTCGCCTGAACATGAGCTGGCAGTGTGCCCAGGCGGCCAAGAAGGCCAATGGCACCCTGGCCTGTATCAGAAAGAGTGTGGCCAGCAGGAGTAGGGAAGTGATCGTGCCCCTGTACTCAGCACTGGTGAGGCCGCACCTCGAATACTGTGTTCAGTTTTGGGCCCCTCACTACAAGAAGGACAGCGAGGTGCTGGAGCGTGTCCAGAGAAGGGCAACGAGGCTGGTGAGGGGTCTGGAGAACAAGTCTTATGAGGAGCAGCTGAGGGAACTGGGACTGTTTAGCCTGGAGAAAAGGAGGCTGAGGGGAGACCTCATCGCTCTCTACAACTCCCTGAAAGGAGGTTGTAGCGAGGTGGGGGTCGGTCTCTTCTCCCAAGTAACAAGCGATAGGACAAGAGGAAATGGCCTCAAGTTGCGCCAGGGGAGGTTTAGATTGGATGTAAGGAAAAATTTCTTTACTGAAAGAGTGGTTAAACATTGGAACAGGCTGCCCAGGGAAGTGGTGGAGTCCCCATCCCTGGAGGTATTTAAAAGACCTGTAGATGTGGCGCTTAGGGACATGGCTTAGTGGTGGACTTGGTAGTGTTAGGTTAACAGTTGGACTCGGTGATCTTAAAGGTCTTTTCCAACCTAAATGATTCTATTCTTTAATCAAGCTGATACCCCTGATGTGTAGGGTACATGCAGCTTATTGTCTACATGTATGTGATGATGAGTTATTGCTCCTTTCTCTGATGTTGAGCTGTGTCTTTCTGTTTCTCAGAATCTGTCCTGGGATTATCAGATTCCATCAGAGCTAAACTGAGGTGGCTTCTAATGTCTGGGTTTGCCACTTCTTAGAGCGTAAACTGCATCCTTTATTGGCTTTGGGAACTGTCTGAATGTGAAAAAGGCTGTTGTGGCCAAAGTTGGTGAAATTGAATGACAATTTTGAACATCTTGCTTTTAGTAGGTAGAAGTATGATTCATTAACCTAACAAGTTAATTGAAGGGGAGATGTTGCGTTAGAATTACTAGTATGCTTTGATTTATTTCAGCCATTAATTATGTGGGTTTCTTTTTAACTAATAAGTAGTATCAACATCATGCTAATAGCTGTCTTTGTTCAGGGATTGGTACCCCTGTGAATTCCAGCTCTGAAACTTACAGGTAGCCTGCAAAGCAGAAACAAGCTTGCTTTGGTCCTTCCCATCTCCTGCTGACACTCAAAATGCACCCTAATAGTTAGGTTATAAGAGTAAGCCCTTTAAAAATAAATAAGTAAATAAAAACCTGGTACTGTCCATACTGGAAGGCTGCCTGCTTGAAAACTGATTTTTATATATATATATATATATATGTAGAAAACTGTGAGTAGCTTACAATGTTAATAATGAAGATGCATGCTTTTAGTAAGAAATATTAACCATCATGAGAAGATTTCTAAATGAGATACACAGATTGATTTTGCTATGCTGGTCACTGTCAAGATTAATTTTCAAAACATTTATCTTTCTTACATTGTGACTAACCAGACATGATTTCTGGATAAGTTGAGAGAAATGGTGATTTAACAGGCTAAATATGTTTTGAATGAGCTCAATAATTTTATTGTAATTGCTGTTATGTGAGTGTAAAAAAAAGTCCCAGCCCCTGCCTTGAACTACAGTTAGCACTTGCTTAAATAGCTCCTGTCTCAAGGTTTCTTTGATGATGGTGTGTCGTGAGTAATCCACTCCCTGTTCCTTGGCAACCTGTATGGCAGGAGGCATTGCAAGGCAGGCACAAGGAAGAGAGG